CCGGGGGGGCTTGCAAGGAGTAGTTCCGCGGAAAGAAGACGACAACGATTGTTGTATGGCTAGAAAAAGAGGGACCATTTCTAACCTTTGTATCTCGATTTTAAATCTTCTATAAATTTTATTTGCGATATTTTTTTTACTTATACCAGGGTTGAAAAGCCGCTTCGCGACTTTTCAACCCTGGCCCCGTGTGATCCCATGATGTTCTTCACTTTGCATAATTCTCACGATTTTCGATCACAAAAATGAGAAAACGCTATTTCTCTTCCCTTATATAGGCTACCGCAACTTCCGGCGTATGCTAATTGTTTCCTAACAAAGAGGGTGTCAGATTTTTCAACAAAAACTTAATTTTAACGTCGAAAACATATAATATTTCAAAATTTTATTAGCGTGCAGTCATCCCCAGACCATTACGCACCTAATGACGTATCAAACATGCCCTTAACTACTCCCCTTATTAAGATACTACTGGAACAACCTGACGGAAGTTGCATGCAAAGTGGCACACACACACAGACACTATTTTTTTATATATAGTAGGATTACTCCCGAATTTCTATCAATTTAACGGCAGAAGAAAGCGAACGAGCGAGCGAGCGAGAGAGAAAGGGAGAGAGAAAGAGAGAGAGAAAGAGAGAGAGAGTGCTAGAAAGAAAGAACGAGACAGCGTGCGAGAGAAAGAGAGAACGAGAGAAAGCGAGAGAGTGCGAGAGCGAGAACGGGATAGAGAGCGCAAGGGAAAAAAGCGATAGACGAAGACTGAGAGAGAGAGAGAGAGAGAGAGGGGCGTGAGGGGGATGTCTGGACCGCACTTCATCTATCATCATCGACAAAGTCAATTCCAAAACCCGGCCTAAAGGCACTTGGAAGTACGAGACTCGCCCCGTTCGCCGACCAGTTCTAGACAGCGACGCGACATGCCAAAAGCCGCTGATACCTTTATTTCACAGCCTGTGTCGCGCGAATATTTTACAAAAATTGAGGCTAAAAATTCTTGTTTTCCCACGTCGCGTAGCTGTCTAGATCTAGTCGACGTCAGAGGTTGATTTCCGCACTTCCCAGTACCTCCAAGCTTTTTTCATCCCAGCATTTGCATGGAATAAATCCCTGCAGCCATTTTTCTCCTTCACACCGTGGCCAGCAAGGCGGGCCCTCCTTCTAAGGGCCCATAACTCTGATCGCGAATTATGGCCCCCTGCCCTCGAGCGGGACGGGACGGCTGTCATGTCGAGGCACAAAGAATGGCTTCACCTCGTCCTATAACATTCCGGCAGGGATTCGAGGTTTTGGCTGAGGGCTCATAACTTTGTGGGCTTAGCATAGAGTTAGCTTAGGCTTGGATTAGGCTCAGCTTGGGCTTCGCTTAAACTTAGCTTAGGCTTTACTTGGGCTTAGCTTAGGCTTGGCTTCGGCTTAGCTTAGCTTAGGCTTAGCTTAGGCTTAGCTTAGGCTTAGCTTAGGCTTAGCTTAGGCTGAGATCAGGCTTAGCTTAGGCTTAGCTTAGACTTAGCTTAGGCTTGGCTTAAGCATAGCTTAAGCTTCGCTTAGGTTTAAGCTTCCCAACGGATTTTGTAGCTTCTCGTACAATGTTCAAGTGCGTACCCAGGGTTGGTCCATTTGGTATCCGGATCCTATCCGGATAATATCCGGATACGGGTATGTATCCATACCCGCCGCATTAGCATATGTTCTTTGGATACGGATAATATCCACAATGGATACGGATAGTATCCATATCCGTAGAATGGATTTTGCCGGATACGGGTATGGATACGGATACAGATACGGATACTACCCGGTATCCGTTGCGGATACTTTGGATACTTCCGGTTTTTTATGCAAATCACGGTATTCATTTGTATTTTGTATGGAAGTCGTTACGAGAAGATATTTTGTTTAAGTCTAAATCCAAGCACTATGCAGTTACAATGTTACATCCACCGATTGGACAGCACAATTGTGCACAAGAAGATTTCCTTTATTCTTGAAGTTTTCTTAGGTGGTACTGGTGTCGTGTACTTGGATCTTAAAGCGTTGGCACATTGGGGATTTGTTAGAATTGCGGATTCACCCCTTTTTATCCTGTTTTCGATGCGGCTGAAGAGTGATGGTGAATCTAGGCTTTAATGTTGATCGTTTCCATACAAAACCAAGCTGAATATCGTGATTTGCATAAAAACCGGAAGTATCCAAAGTATCCGCAACGGATACCGGGTAGTATCCGTATCAGTATCCGTATCCATACCCGTATCCGGGAAAGCCATGCTAATTTTGGATACGGGTACGGATACCTATCCGGATACCAAAGTATCCGTATCTGCCCAAATTAGCATAGGTTCACGGATACGGATATGTATCCGCATGTCCGAAAATGGGTACCGATGCTGGATACGGATATTCAAATGGCCAACCCTGTGCGTACCCACGCTGCAAATTACGGGCCGTAGGAGTGGGTCTCACGCCGGGATTTCCGCAAAGCTACTGGTCAGCTGGTGGTGTTTTTCGTACCGGATACCTACAGCTACGTTAATTATTACTTGACTACCTCTCTTTTACTGTTCTTGCATGTTTATTCACGTACGCTGTGCCGCTCCTAAAGTGACTAAGAACTTTATAATCTGCCCTCTCTCAACTGAAACTAGGCGGCTGCACGGCGCGCTAATAAACGCCCATATTTTTTTGAGCATATAGTATAGTAATCGTGGAATGCTGCGCGAAAGTCGACACCTGAAGGGCCATTTCCACGCTTTCCAGCCCCTATTAATGGTATTCTAAAGGAAAACCGTAAACTGTTTTAGAAGCCTTGGCTAATGGGCTGTGCTATCCTGCCATGACCGGCTTGCGGTTGGGTTAAAATTCAGTTTCACATGAGAAGATTCTGCACGTAAAGTCCGGAAAGGATAAAATCGCGGCAGCCGGAATTCTAATTGACAAAATCCCCGACATCCACGTTCTCGACAGCCAGAATCCCAACAGTTAAAATGCCGACGAGAATATGTCGGGATTTTGGCTGTCGAGGCTTATTTCAGTTGTCGGGATTACTTGTCGGTATTTTGCCTATCAGGATTCTGGCTGGAATTCCTCGAAATTCCTATGCAAATCACAGATCATGCCTTGAAATTCCCAATTTCCCACGGTTATGTGTGCGTCAAGGCTTCGTCTTTTCGCGCTTTTTCCCAGCTTCTTCCCCTTCTACGTTCCCCAGTCTCAGGCCGTTTCCAAAGTTTTCAAGTGGTTCGCGGGGTGGGGTGCGGCTCGACAAAATTCTCACACTTGTTTTCTCGGCGGCGGCCCCCTCTGCTTCCTTACCCTTCCGTCGGATGCGCCCCATCTTCCCGCGGAAAGCACCGGATTTCCGATTTTCATCCTCATCTAGGGGGTATTTTTTCAGGTCGCGTATTTTGGAACGTTACGGAATCTATACAAAAGATGGTTTTTTTGGGGTTTTAAAAGGACGAAAAAGTTGAAAAACGGCCCCCGTAACGTCGACTAGGTCTAAACAGATACGCATTCCAGCTTTTGCTGTTTTTTGAAGCTGTCTTCTAAAATTTTGCGGCTTCTATGCGTAAAATAGTAGATTTTCCGGTTTTTAAAGGGACTGTGACACCAATGATCCCTTAACTTCGACTAGGTCTAGACGGTCTGCTTGCTATCATTTTTTTGGTTTTTGGATTTTTGGTGCCACATTCTATAAAAATACTAAACATACTTAAGAAAACGTTTTGGAGCTTTAAAGGGGCGGAAAGCCGTCAGAATCGACCCCTGAGTAGCCTAGGTCTAGACGGCTACGCGACACGCCAAAACGCATTTACGATTTACGCCACTCGGTCATTTAAAACGTTATGCTTCAAGGCATCAGAACGAAATTACCACGTAACTTGGCTTCACGCGTAGGTGTCTAGGCCTAGTCAACCGAAGGGGGTTGATTTTGGCGCTTCCAAGTGCCTTTAAAACTCGTCAGAGATCTGCTTCACACCTACGGAACGCCTTGATCAAAAAATCTCTGGTTGTAGCCCCTTCGGAGCACGGGGTAGGAACATCTGCTTTCCGACGGGTTTTAGCCTCTCGCGTAGGTGTCTACACCTAGTCGATATTAGCCGTCGACTTTGGTGGTTTATATTTTTAAAGAGAAAGCATCCTAACTTCCTGGTCCCTTTAAAAAAACACCCAGCATCATTTTGGGGCCAGAAATTGGAGTAATGGCAGCGGGCGTGGATGGACTCTCGCGCTCCACCGGTGGGCCTCCCCCCTCTACTGCCCCGAAATTGCATATCGGATTACAACAAGGGCCCGCGGCCAGTACCAGTCGAGCGTGTGCCCCGGATCGGGCGGAAAAACTAGACCGTGATGACCTCTCCTTCCGCTTTTTGGCCTGGGAATCCGCGTAGAACCAAATTTCCTCAATTTTTTTTTGGTGAGGTGAGTTTTTCCGGGCCTTATAAGTTGCCTCTAGCCCTTGACCGCAAACTTTAAAGGAGCATGGAAGGCACGAATTCGGGGATCTGTCAAAATCTCGGATTTTCAGAACCTCCAATTTTTAGAATCTCGAATTTTCATCATATCGAATATTTACAATCTCGAAATTCCCATGGTCTAAAACATCATTAAAAGCGCCGGAAATTGTACGCCTACGCCCTGAATCCAGCATAGGCATATTTCGAGAATCTGAAAATTCGAGATTTTGAAAATTTGAGATTGTGAAAATTCGAGTTTCTGAAAATTCGAGTTTTTGAAAATTTGAGATTCTGAAAATTCGAGATTCTGAAAATTCGAGATTCTGATTTTCGAGATTCTGATTTTCGAGGTTCTGAAAGGTATTCTTCAAAATGCCGTTTTCCTTTAGCTTTCTTGCCTTCCTAATCCCTTTAAACCGTACGTTTCCACGATTTTGAGACTTATTTTCGTTTGAGCTTTTCAGCTCGTCTGTTGTAGCCCCCCTAAATCCAAGTTCTCCCTCAATAATCGCCAGTTGCCACGAGAATCCCGACTTTTCGGCGATGTTCCTCTGGTTGCTACAACATGCCAATTTTCTCCTTGTTCGCCGCAGTGGATTTGCGTCAGCCGCTCATCTACTGATTTCGTGTTTTTTTTGGCCTACTGTATCTGGTTTCTGAGTGTATTTTTTACCGTATTTTTCGCTTTTTCGATCTTACGGTGCCTCAATTTTCTCGTGTTTTCGCTTCCTCTCCTCGAATCAGCTGTTATCATAATCTTCCAGATCTCATGGCCGCCCTCCTTGTTATCTGTTGTTTTGGCGGCCAGCCATATGTGGATTTGCATTTGGAAAGGGTGAGTTTAAAGGGACGAGGACGAGCGAAAATCGACCTTGCGATCGACTAGGTCTAGACAGCTAGAGTACGCTACACTACGCTACGTCCATGCTAAAGTCCAAAACTCGGCTCAGTCATTGTTTAATAGCCCTTTTCGGCTCGCAAAATCGAAAAGCCTGTACGCGTCTTTTGGCGTATGGCGTACTCGTCTAGACCTAGGGGGAAGGCAGGGTCGAATTTTAGGCTTGTGAGCTTGCAAAGTTGTAAAGCTTGTAAAGCTTTTAATTGTAAGGTTAAAAGCCTAAAATTCAACGCCGTGCTTGCTAATTAAATAATCTTTTCAGATACACTCCCAGCACCTCATCGACCCGACAGACTGGATAGCCATGGACACGGCCGGCGATCTCATTTCCAATGTATCAGAACCAGTCCCGGGATTGGATCGAATATTACGGTAAGTCTAACCTTCCAAAGGGGCCCGGAAGCGCAAGAATCAACCCCTTCAATCGACTGGGTCTAGACAGTTCTGCCATGGTCCAAAAACTGCCCAAAGTACGCGTATTTTGGCGTTTCACGTAGCTGTCTAGACCTAGTCGACATTAGGAGTTGATTATTACGCCTCACGGTTCCTTTATTTTGTTTGCCAAATCGAATTGCATAAAATCAAGTAGCTTTTTAGAGGCGGTACTCCCTTGGCGTCGTGTGATTTGTACAACATCACCTTTACTACCTCAGCCGATCAATCTATATTTTCTAAAAATAATGGGAGCTTGGAGTGCCGGTGAGTCTTCCTCGCTCGCTCGCTCGCTCGCTCGCTCGCTCTCTCTCTCTCTCTCTCTCTCTCTCTCTCTCTCTCTACCTCTCTTGCCTTCACCGCTTCCGTCTGCCTCTTATTCCAGTCCAATCTACCCTTGCCTTTCCAGCCCCTTTAAACGCCTGATTTTCTCAAGCCCCGCATCCCATTGAGTTGTAAAAGTCACCCGGGTCCCCGGTGTCTTTTACACTTTCCCGACAATAGATTTGCATTGTCCATAGGGGCTTCAGGCAGGCGCCAGCCACCGATCAAGCCCTCCCCCCAAGCAGTCAATGCGCAATTGTAATGCGCAAGATAAGGGCGAGAGAGTGGGGGGGAGAGAGGGAGAGAGAGAGAGAGAGAGAAAGAGAGAGAGACGGCAAGGGGAACACATAACACTTTGGATTACGGGGGCCAACTCTGGGCGAACAGTTGACCCTTTATGAAATCCCTAGGCGGGGATGAGTCGGATCTGGGCCATGCCATTTCAAGTTCATTTTAAAGCGGCCGGTAAGCGTCAGAATCGACGCGTTTTATCCACTAGATCTAGACAACTCTGAAACCCACGATTTTAAGCATTCACCATTTCTCGAGGCGGCTACATTCGACTTAAGCATAGTGAAACATCGCGAACTTCGCGTTCCTGCATTTTTATGTGTTTTGAAGTGCAGTGTAGCTGACTAGACCTAGGGTATGGAAGGGGTAAATTTTCGCGCTTTCTAGTCCCTTTAAAGCTGAATAATCCGAGATTTGGTAGTCTATTAGAGTACCACCAAATCCTCTCTTTCTTCTCATCATTGCCACCCTCTTTCTTTGATGCCCTTTCCATCGATCACAGAGCGAGAAAGGAAGGGCCCCCAGGCCGGTGTGGGCCGGGGGCCATTTCGCGAAAAGCCCCCGCCACGCGACTCGGACTAGTTGGTTGTTTTCGAGCAGCTTTGAGCTCTAACTTTGAGCGCGAACTTTCAAGTTACCTCTCTCAAAGCCCTTTTTGAACATTTTTGTGTTCGAAGGAATATACCGCAAATATGGCGGTACCGACATCTTTGGATTTTTTGAAAGCTTCAGCTTTGAGTGCAAATGATTCACTTAAAATTAAGCTACCGGAAACGGTATACTATTCTTCCGCGGCGCTGCTAGCTAGGCGAACAGTACCTATGCAAAAATCAGCTTAAAAAGGATAGTAGAGCGAACTTAAATCATTTTTACGATCTTAATTGTAGTGCAGATTCCTAAAACATCACTGCCATCCGATACCCCAAATAAATTGCCAAAAAGCCATCGCCAATCTCGCCGCCGGCGCTCTATTTGAATAGCCGCCGCGCGGGTTGTTTTTCTCTGAAAAGCGAAGCCCCAAAATGGCTATTATGGCAATTTCCTAATTGATTTTGAGCATATATTTTTTATCGATTTACTCGACCCAATCAATTAAAAAAATCAAATTTTCAGGTGTCCGCTGCGCTACTCCGGACAGTCGTGCGAGGTGCAGCCACCCATTGCCTTGCCCTTGATACAAACATATGTAAGTTGGAATCGCAAATGATCTTTGCTAGCCTGCCCCTTCCATTCCCAAATGATCTCTGCTAGCCTGCCTACACGATCGTTTTTAGAACTTCTTCACCCCGTTCGCCGGAAGCATGATACTCATCGTCGGCGTCGTGTTGCTGGCCATCTTCTTCGTCACGATGCTGGTAGGTTTTTTAAAGGGGCTGAGAAGTAAATTGAGTCCGAATGACCGTAGAAAGAGAGGGAGAGAGAGAGAAAAAAGAAAGAGAGAGAGAGAGAGAGAGAGAGAGAGAGAGGGAGAGAGTGAGAGAGCGTGAATCGCTGTTAGCGTCGTCACCGATGCGTATCGAGACGTTTTTTAGCGAAATGGCCTGCCTCCCTGATTTTGCGCCCCCGGGGCCATGAGTCACACTCAGGTTTCGTAACTTGTCAAGCTCCTTTCTCAAAGCCTTCTTTGGGAGCTTGACGCTATCGAGCAGCATCGGGGCCCCGCCCCTTTTGTAGCAACCCCTAGTTTCCTTACACAATTGATGAGCTGACGAAACCTGAAGCGGCTGACTTTCTCATTCTACTTGACCTTCTTGCTAACGTTTAAATGTGGAGATAAGCGCTAGCATCAACCCCTTACGCGACTAGGTCTAGACAACGACGCGATGCGCCAAGACGGGCAAGCAATAGGAATAAGAATCAAATCAACCTCCGGTCATTAGGGTCCGAAAGATGTAAATTCGATGTGTCTTGGCGCGTCGCGTAGTTGGCTAGACCTGGCCGTTGAAACCAGTCGATTCTGCCGCTTCCCAGTCCCTTTAAAGTGTATTTCACGATTCCTGCTCCTCAATTCTTCGTTTTTTTGGCCTCCGGCTCGTTTCTATCGACCCCAAAACTTTTCTCAAAACACCCCAGGCGTGTTGAGTTTCAGCTGTTGCCCGCATGTGTGTATCCTCAAGGGTAAAAAGAGCCCCACGAGCTTTTCGTTGGCCTTCCTCTCCTACTCCTCCTCCGGTGGCAATTGATTTTTTTGGCCCCCTTCGGCTGGGGCGGGAGAAAGGGGCCCACAAGGGCCCCATTTTTCCCGCACCATTGGATGCTTTTTCTTGAAAGGGTAGGCCCCAAAGCGGGCCCACCCTCATACCCATGCATGGCCCATTTTGGTGGCAGTGCCTTGGCTTCGTTTTTGTGTCTCTGGGCTTTTAAGTGACGTTTAGCGACTTCAGAATTTTTGTTCTCCTTGTTTATGATGCACTTATTTTTCGAAATCTTAAGCCTATAAAGCCTAAGTCTCAGCTTATAATTAAGCATAGCTGAAGCCTAAGCCTCAAAAATGAACTGAAAACTAACCCAAACATAAGACTAGGCTAATTCTAAGCTACTCCTAAGCTAAGCCCAAAGTTAAGCCGAACTCAAGTATAACCCTAGGCCTAAGCCTAAGCCCAAGCCTAAGGCTAAGCCTAGGCCTAAGCCAAATCAAAGCCAAGCCTCAGCCTCAGCATCGAATGACATGACATCGAAACACGATTTATCTGGCTGGAAATTCCAAGTTTTTCAAACGTGTTTGGAAAAGCGAAACGTCCTGAGCATTATTGGCTTAGTTTCTAGAACTGCGGACTGTAGTTTCCCCGCGTTGGCTGCTGAAACCAAGTTTTTGAAGCTCATGAAGCGCTCGAAGCCGTGCTTCGCTAACGGTTTTTTAATTTGTGTAATGCCACGAATCTAGTTTCAAGTATCTAAAAATATTAATTTCGTCATTGCTCCGATTGCTTTGGTATTTGAACAGCTTCTGCAGCTTTCTAGGAGCCGGTTTAGGTAGTCCAACGTCCACTCTAAAACTAATCCCAAGCCTGAGCTTGACCTAACAAGCTCATTTAACCCGAGTCCCAACTTTACGAAAACCTATGCCCCTGATTCTGAATTCTCCGATCATTTTCAAGCCAAAAACTCCGCGGGCCCACACTCATTTTAATGGAGTTTTGAATCGGAAATGAGGCCTAGGGTGGACCCGGTTGGTTGCCGCGGCACCCCTGCGAAGAGATTCTCGGGGGTGGGGGGGGGGGGGCTACTCTCTTTTTGCCTTTTACACTTCGGAAAGGGTGCTGACATGCTATAAGACGACACCCTCCTTTCCTGCCCACACACACATACACAAGCCACCCCTCCCCCGATAAAATAATCCCCCCGGAATTATGGGACGTCTTCGCTGGTTCTCTCTCTCTCTCTCTTTCTCTCTCTCTCTCCCTGAATCTGCCCCTCGAGAACTTGTTGGCTTACGCCACGAAATGATGATTTTAATGGAGGCTGGATCAGTGGTAGTGTCGGATTCCAACTTTTGAAACTTACTTCTCTACCCATACTCGAGAAAAGCTCCCATTCTTAATTTGAAACCAATTCGTCAGAGCCTGTCACTTGGAGCGTCACGTAGTCGTCTAGACCTAGCAAAGGCAGGGGTCGATTCCCACGCTTTATGGCTCCTTGAAAGGACCAAGAAGTCCAGATATTTCATGGATTTTGTGAAACCGACTACTTGTGGCACTTGACACCTTTCTAAACTCTGAGGAAGCGCGCAACCGGATTGGCGCCCCGGAAAATCCGTATTTTGCCATGTCTGGACCTAGACCCCGTGGGGGTCGATTTTTGCATTTGCTAGTCCTTTAAAGGCGCACTGACAGCAAGCGCTCATGGTGCTTAGGCGGTATACGTCTCTTTTTTGCACTTTCTATTACGGTTTTTATGGCTGTCTCCTCCTTCATCTCGCTCGGTCTCTCTCGCTCTCTCTCTCTCTCTCTCTCTCTCTCTCTCTCTCTCTCTCTCGCTCTCCCTCGTTCTCTTTCTTTCTCTCGCTCTCTCTTTCTCTCTCTCTCTCTCGCTTTTCGGGCACGTGCCCTAAAGGGAGCGGAACACAGATCACGTTCAGAGAGGGGCCGTGTACTCGTTCCAACGTGTACACCCTATGGACGTAGGGACCGCGCGCGCTGCCTGCCCGTGGCGTGGCAGGCAATTTCTCTCCTTTGCGGCGTGGGGCGTCCTCATCCCCACGCCAGGTTGTAGCTGTGGCTGACTGATATGCATCCGCTCCTCCCGAGCGGAGGGCCCGGGTTCGACCCCCGGCCGCGGCAAAAATCTTTGCTTTTTTCCGAAAAAACCTCCCTGAACATGCCCTTTAATTCGAAATTTTACCGCGGCTGTCCCTTTCAGCCACTTTGAATTTAGCAATCCTATTTAAGCGTCCGCGCTTGTAGAAAACTCTGACCCAATGAAACACCCCGGGGCCAAAAATGACTCACTTAGCCGCTCGGCAAGCATGACGCTTATCAGCAACTTTATGAACCTAACGGGGTCCATCCGGTGCAGCCCCGAAATTCACACCAAAATTTTATTGAACCGCCTGAAAAATGGCTGGATGAGCGCCGCGCTATATTGCACCCCATTTTATGGAGCCGCCTAACAATGGGCCCTGGCTGGGTCGCGGCACTCGTTTATTGGGGCCAGCCGAGTCTGGCATCGCCGATAAGCATTGACGGGTTCATTTGAGTTTTCACGCCTTTGCAAGAGAGCGCGTTTTTCAAAATTAGTATCTAGCTCTGTTAAAGGGTTATATCTCTTGATGGCTGTATATTACTGATAAATTTAGTATTTTCCTAATTTCCTATTTATTTATTTGCGCTCTTGTTTGGCAGACCGCGCCTTTACACGTACTAGCTTTACTTAACGTAATCGAATACTATCCATTCAAGACGGCCGAGCGGGCCGGCACGTTGCGTACCGCGGAGCGGTGGCTTCTTAAGGGCTCTAACCTCTAAAATTGTTCCCTTGGTTCGACTAGCGATAGACAACTACGCGAGACTCCAAAAGACGTAGCAGTCGAAAAATTTTGCCTGGACAAAACCTAGTTTTAAGAAAATTGGAGTTGAAAGGCGTCAATTCGACGTTTTCGCGCTTTAAATTTATTCCTTCACCCCTATACCGTATACCCTTACAAATTTCCTTCCGTTTTTAACCAAAATGAAGCTCAACGTTTGGAGTGCTGAGCCCTCCACAAAAACCTCAAAATTTTGAGTCATTCCCGCTCGTGGGCGGAACTTCAAGCCACCGTAGTCGATCCCTAGATCCTCAAATCTTTATGAGAGCTCAAACAGTGCTATTTTGCAGTGCAGAAGCTTCTCGGGGTCGAAAAGCACGCGAAAAACCTTGTCCCGCCACTCGGTTACACTATTTGCGCTTCTCGTTTTCGCTAATCTGCGGGGGGTGGAATTGGTCCCGTGGGGAAGAGGCCCCCTCATCTCATCCCTCAAATACTCAACTGTTTGTCGACAGTCTCCCTTTCACACACAACTTGAAAATATATTAGGGAGTAGGGAAGATGGGTCGGTTGGATCGGTTAGGCGAGCCAAAAAGCGGAAATTAAAGCACTTCCGGAGCTTCAAAATATCGTCTGTCTCTCCCTCTCGCTCGCTCTCTCTCTCTCGCTCTCTCTGTCGCTCTCTCTCATGCCTGATTTTGCGTTATGCTCCGTTATCTCGCAAAGCTGCCCAGCCAGCCTTGTAAGCCCCGGGGCAAACAGAAGCCGAATTTTTGGCACGAGTCCGGCTATACATTTCGAATTTCAAAACTTTCCGGTTGATGTTTCTGAATTTTAGACTACTGATAATATTCTTATAATGTTCCAGATGCTTCGCGGTTGTTTCTGCGATTGCTTCGGCCCAATGTACTGGGGCTGCGGCAGAAAAGACGAGGAAGAGGATCGCCCTCTCGATCAAGAAGTCCTCCAGAAGATGCTCAACGAGTGCAAGAGGAGCGACGTCAGGAGGGAGCTGATGGTATGTGTTTTGGCCTAAAGGGACTGGAAAGCTGGGAACGTCCCCTTTCCCTATACTAGGTCTAGACCGCCAGGCGGACCGCGTAGCTGCCTAGACCTAGTCGATGAAAGGGGTAGATTTTCGAACCTGATTGTCTTAAGGGGTATTGTTAATGGAAATCTGATGTCAGCACCCCTTTCAATTGGAAAAAAAATTAATTTTTGTTTTTTTTTCAGGCTCACGAGCAAGAGTACGGTCCCGTCTCCACAATCTCAGATGGGATGGCTCAGCCCTATAACACTACCGTAATCGTCCCTTCTGCCCCGGCAGAGTACAGGTACGGAAATTTGGTTATTTCGACGTGGAAACGCGTCATTTGGCCACTTACGTCGCTGTCTAGACCTAGCCGGCCCATGGGGTCGATTTTCACACGTCCCAATCACTTTAAAATTAATTTTTTAGGAGACCGCCCTCTCCTCCTCCAGCCTACAGTTCCGTGGCCGGAAGCGCTGAACGACTCAACTCTCAGATGCCACATACCCAAATTTAAGGCCAAAATTTTCAATGATTTTTACACGTCTAGTCCACCTTTGATTAGTGCGCAATGCCCATACCCAAAAACTGTGAAAACCGGTAGCCTTCCCCCCCTCAGTACCCACGCTAGCCATCACCCCTTTGTCATTTCGGAAACCCAAGAAAAATTTATGAAATTACGGGTTGACGTTTTCTAAGATTTCTGTATCAATTACGCCATGAAAATTCTGAATTTTGATCACAAAGATACCTACAAAAATCTCGTGCCTAATCAGTTATACCCAAAATTCGAATCTCTCTCTCTCTCTCTCTCTCGCTCTCTCCCTCTCTTTCTTGCTCTCTCTCTCGCTCTCTCTCCCTCACTCTCCCTCCTCTCTCTCTTTCTCTCACGCTCTCTAGTCTGCCTCACCCAAAATGTCATGAGATTTCCAGTTTCAAGCTTTATTTCGATCATGTATCATTCGCTGAGTGAACTCTAGTCAAGTGTACATAAGATTTCGATGTTCTGTTTGGTTTCCTTTTCCGAATCGTCCACAGTATTTTGTCGGGATAAATGACCTCCATCTGGGTTTCTGGGGCCTACAAGCCAGATCTGAAAACATACTAATTTTTCGAATTTTTACGTTTTTTAATTTTAGTTATATTTATCCCGACAGTTTTTTTAGATCTTTTAGTGACGAAAATCCCAAAAAAAAATGTAAATCTTTTTATTCTTTTCAATAGCATAAGGCTGGATATCAATACAGAGCAACGAGATTGTAACAATTAATGAAATAAAAATGGCATTTGAGGTATCAAAAAACCTGTCATATTACATTTACACATCACATAAATGGAGGCTAGTTTTATTAAATACAGTTTAAAATGATAGAGTAGAAGCCTCAGTAGATCCTGCACTCGCACTTGTCGATGACGGCGTGCGGGAGAATGTTCTGAAAAGTGGATCTAGAAAAACCTTAATTTTAAGGGATTCTCGGCCTTTTTCAGTGGAACGATCAAAAATTTTTGGGCCGTTGAGTGGATTAGGGGATTAAACCTATCACGGCTTAATAATATCAAAAGGTTAATTTGGGTTTAGATACCTTTAAAAACGTACCGATCTCTCCTCGTCCAACACCGGATACGAAACCTTCGTGTCCTTCCACGACGCCGGGACGCAGTGTGGGCGCTCGTTTTCTTGGTTTTCGTACTAAAATAACATTTAAATACGATTACAATTAATACAGTTTTGCAGAGATTTTAGAGTGAAATTCGAGTATTACTTACCATACTCAAATCCTCAAACATACACATGCCAATGTTCAGCTGGGCGGGCGAGTTGAGGCCGGGCGGCTTGATGGAGAGCGGGACCGGGCCGCAGGACTGAGATGAGGAGATGTTGAGAGAGAGAGAGAGAGAGAGTGAGAAGGGGAGAGAGAGAGAGCTAGAGGGAGGGATAGGGAGATGGAGAATGAGTGAGATCGAGCTCAAGCTAACCTGATGGCAAGGAATCCCGATCGGTCGCGTCCTGATGTGGAGCATGGCCTCCTGAATTCCCAAAATCTTGTTGGTCGAGTCGATCGGCACCAGGGCCACGATGGGGAACATTTTCTCGTCGAGCACGAGCCTGAAAAAAATACTTTTCTCTAAACTCGATGGAACGTATCAAAATCGATCTACAAAAGGCTAGAAAGTGCAAAAATCGACTTGGTCTCGACTCGGCCAGCGGAGCGGCATCCAAATTGAATTTTTTGGCGCTTTGCCTCGCTGTCCATACCTAGTAGCTTAGGTAGCGTTTTCCGGTTCTTAGCTCCTTTAAATTACCAGAAATTGACTTACCTTTCTGGTTTCGGCAGTCGGCACGTAAAATACGCGTTTCCCTCGCCGTCCAGGTCGTACGGGACGGTGCAGAGAGTGTTCTGAATTATTTTTTGAGCATCATCCAATTACCAAACGATCTCTGCTAGCCTGCCCCTTCCATTCCAAAAGATCTCTGCTAGCCTGCCCCTTCCATTCCCAAATGATCTCTGCTAGCCTGCCCCTTCCATTCCCAAATGATCTCTGCTAGCCTGCCCCTTCCATTCCCAAATGATCTCTGCTAGCATGCCCCTTCCATTCCCAAATGATCTCTGCTAGCCTGCCCCTTCCATTCCCAAATGATCTCTGCTAGCCTGCCCCTTCCATTCCCAAATGATCTCTGCTAGCCTGCCCCTTCCATTCCCAAATGATCTCTGCTAGCCTGCCCTTTCCATTCCCAAATGATCTCTGCTAGCCTGCCCCTTCCATTCCCAAATGATCTCTGCTGGCTTGCCCCTTCCATTCCCAAATTATCTCTGCTAGCTGGGGTTGCTTACCTGCTCTCCATCTTCAACCGTCAGAATCCCGCGGTGCGGCGCATATGGGCTTCCCATAACTCCTCGGGCTCCAATTTTAATTTCGACAATGGCCTCGACAATTTTGTGGCCGTAGGTGAGGGTGATGAACTGAAAACGCGTTGTAATTTAAGAATCCTGGTTGACTTTGGTATCTTTCAAACGGTTGTTACATTTTTTAAAGGAAAAAGACACGCTAAAGCAAATCTTAGCGGTTCAAACAGGTTTTGTTTCAAAATAAAATCGTAAAAACAATTTAAGTTATTAATTTAATTTAGTTTAGGTTACGTTTGATAGGTATGCAATCGCTCATGCGAATTTTTCTATACTCACCTGGTCCATCTCAAAAACGACACCGCGGTAGAAGCGATACGAGGGGAAAATGTGGCGCTGAATCTTGGCGGCGAACTCGTAGTGTCGATAGGATTCCTGGAATTTATCGCTTAGTTTAAACTACGTGATGTTTGAAAAAGGGGTAACATCTTTTTTAATGCACTTTACAATTTTACTTTACAAATTTCGGTGGGCTTTACAATTAACATTAAATGTGTCAGGTATTTGGCCCAAAATTTAGCATTTTTCCCTGGTTTTAATAGGATTGAAAAATACAACAAAAATAATATCAACTGTATTGTATTTCTCTATTTGACCAGAAAACCAAAAATTAATTAAGTAAATTCAAACTAGACCAAAAATTTCGATAAAAAATCTATATTTTTGACATTTATGAATTTAAATCGGAAATTATTCAATTAAAGATAGTTTTTTCAATATTTTATTTTTCTAAATTTTTCAGAATTTTTTTCGAATTTTTAAGCAACGTGAAAACTAATATTTAATCGATGAAATCAAAATTACAAAACACCTAGAGTGACCTATTTTTTAGTTAAATTTATCATTAAAATGAAAAATACAAAAGTTACTTACCCACGCCTTCTCGCCCATCGCCCAGTCTCCGCCAGCCGTATGCAACAGGACAGCCCGTCGAAAATCGGCTTTCCGGTCGCTGGCCTCCGACTCGGGGCCCCATACCGGCGTCTGGGCTACGGTAAGCCGCTCAGCGCGGGTTACTGTAGCCACCGAATACGGTAGGAGGAGCAGTAGAAGCGTCGCGGAGACTAGGGAGTAGATCATAGTGTAGTAAATTTCAGTAAGAGTGATTTTTGACGAAATTTTCCTCTTTTTATAGGGTGGAACGGCAGATGTAGTGTGGTTTTTTGCGATACCTTCGTAGCCTGGAGTCATATGATACTACGGATAGTTGCGGTGCACTAATGAGCATCTGGACATACAAGTAGAAGCGCCCTTCCATTTACGTTGATAAGGTCTGAATCTGATGCGTATTAATGAAAGCTCGAAACCCCTCGATTCTAACTTTTAATGAATTCTAACAATAATGTGATTTTTTAATTTTCTGAGCTTTTCGCTAGTGCCATTCGCCATTTGTCGCGGAGCCCCGGATTCTACGTTTTTAGTTAACGTATTATTTAACCGTATTTTTAAAAAATTTCTTACTATTTTTGTCGAGGGAGCTGTCTAACCCGTGCCGTTTTAATATATATTTTTATCTTTAAAATTGCCATAGAATTTTACGGGTTTGGTTTCCCACTTTAAAAAAACATTCGGCATTTCCGATTTTTATTTCATCATGTCGAAATTTATAATGTCGAAATTTCATGATTTCGATCTGCACCCAGACAAAACCCGCGGAAAACCCCTAAATACTATGAAAAAATGTTGGAATTACAAAAATTCGGGAGCCTGAACCATCGGCATTATAAATTTCTAGGTCATCAATCTCGACACTGCGAAAATAACCTTTTCTGTCCACCAATAATCCCCATACTTTTTGTATTCTTTTGTTTGTATTATAATCCTGGGTGGAAATCCAGGTTTTTGAACAGCATTTTTTTAATTTCATACATCGTCTTTTTAAAATTCAGACAAAGGCGATCTGGTTTCGCTTGTCAAAAAACGGATATCGTCACTGCTCCTCAATTTTTCATTCTTCCTGTTTTCTAAAAAAATCCAAACGCTAGAAATTCTCATTAGTTAAGACGATAGCGTCATTTTTTTGATTCCAGTAGGACCAGTATGGGTAATTTGTTTGTTACAAAATGCTCAAAATCTAGAATTATTTTTTTTGTTAAAATCACATTTTCCAGCCTTTCCCCTTGCAAAAACCCGGCACACTTTCGCTCGACGTGTGCTGCTGGCCCCGGCCTAGGAACGCGTCGACCCGAGAGCCCCCCCAGGAAAACGTGTGTGTGCTGTCCCATGGTTAGTCTTTCTCTCTCGCTCTCCCTCTCTCTCTCTCTCTCTCTCGCTCTCTCTCCGCCTCTCTGACCGCTCTCTCGCCGGTCAGACCCACTTTCCGCAAACGAGAGCCCCCCGGGCGGGTGGTGTGTGCCTGGTGCCAGTCGTTTTCGCCCCTGCAAGAGAGTCCTCTACGCCGCTTTCTCTGCGTCTCTCACTCACTCCCTGTCTTTCCCCCTCTCTAGTGTCTGGTCTCTCTTACTCTCCCGCGCTCTCTAGTCTAGGATGGCGGTCTGCGTCTCGCACCTCGTCAGTACTCGCTTTTTCTCATAGTTTAGCCCTAGGGGTAGTTTTCTCTGCGTCTCTCATAGAACTACTGATCTCTCGGCCCCCTAGCGTCTGGGTGCTCTCTTTCTCTCGCCCTCTCTCGCTCGTTTCGGGTATCTATCTCATGCTCTCTAGGGGCATCTATACCCCTAGAGAGCTGTCCCGTTAACCATACGATGGCTCTCTCCATATCTCTCTCTCTCTCTCTCTCTCTCTCTCTCTCTCTTACTCTCTCTCTCCCTCTCCACCCGTTGCCCTCATTTTTTATGGCTTTCAGCCCTCCTCACGTTTTCGCTGACCCCGATCTAGGGCTTTCTCTCTCTCTCTCTCTCTCTCTCTCTCTCTCTCGCCAGGTCCAAAGGGCCCGAGGGCCCGGCCTGCGAATTCGGTGGTCGTCCGTGCCTGGGCCCTAAAAGATGCCCCTACACCCCCAGGGGGGCTAGACGATGATGAGATCCTCCCCGCTTCCGACGGCTTTGAATACCAAATTGAGGAGGGATGAATGGGAAGCGGCCTTTGCAGCATGAACGGTGGTTTTTGGGGGTTTGGAAGGAGGTGCATAATGGAATAATCTGTTGGGTAATCCGATGTGCAACCTTTGCAAGTTGGATGGGGCTACGGTAGCTACAAAGCTTTGCTGGAGTACATGGCGTAATCAGTTGAGAACATCCGTTTTGACAAAAAACGGCTAAATTAGATGTCATAACCGGTTATGCAATAACGGTTTTGCGGGTTTAAATTGCCTAATCCGTTATGTGCAGTGGTTTTCAGGAGCCTTCTGAATTTTATGGCGTAATCGGTTAAGCCCCGTCTTTCTAGACGACTTCGGAATTAGATGGCGTAATCGATTATCCAATGCCGTTCTCTAAAACCCCACTGAATTAGATGCCGTAATCGATTATCACCTGACAATTTCAGAATTGTTATCAATTATATGGCGTAATCAGTTCTCTAATGCCATTTTTCCCGATTCTTCTCGATTTGTTGCCCTGCCCTAAACGTCTATCTCCACTATGTTTCAGACTTCTTCTGAATTGGGACGCGTAATCGGCTATCTAATGCGGTTTTCAGAATTATGCTAAATCCAATGGCGTAAATGATCGTAACCTGCTGATCTTCAGAACCCAACCGGATTACACGACGTAATCGGTTCAGAGAGGTTACTGTAGTCGGAGTTGGCTGTTTAGAAAATGGCGAAAGAATTATTTTAGCGCTCGTACGTGAATAAAATACTGATATAGGCCTACACTGGAGGTTTTTGAGATCTAGATGACAAAAGATCGATTTTTGCGCTTTCTGGTCCCTTTAAACCACAAATCCAAAAATGACTCAGATTCCCTTGACCATTGACTGACTTCCGGTCACTAGCCTACCCCGGTTTACCGGCAGCGAGCCTGTATTTGTCAAGTATCCTAACACAGCAAGCCTCTCCCTCTCTCTCTCTCTCTCTCTCTCTCTCTCTCTCTCTCCCTCTCGCTCTCTGTTTGTGCCTTTGCCTGCGATAGGTAATATTTGTGCAGGTGGTAGCAATATTCTGCCCACCCCTGCTTTTTCAGCCCCTAGACGAGTGTTCGCTTCGGGACCCTCGCAGGTCCTCCTCCCCCCAAAAAAAGGCCAAAAAAGAGGCGAAAAAATGGCTGTCGACTGGTGCCATTCGGTGGCGCTTCCCCCCACACACGCCCGTTGCCCTACATGGCAACATGGCCCGAAAAATGAGGGAAGAGAGCTAGAGAGTGAGAGCGAGATAGAGAGAGAGAGAAAGAGAGAGAGAGAGAGAGAGAAAGAGTCGATGAGAAATTCCCTGGGTGAACCAAATTTGCTTCCGGCTAGGGATTACGGTAGGCTGATCTGTCAAAATGAGGCTCTGAGATACTACGAAGCAAACAACCGCGGGATGTCACAAAAAATGCAAAGCGGGCTAGCAGAAACCATCCAGGAAGCTCAGGAAGAACATAAAATATTTTTTAAGGAATTAGGAAGGCATGGAAAACAACTAGGTAACTTTTTTCAGAAACGAAAAGGTGTTAGAACACGAGGAATTTTTGTTAAAGGCACCAAGAAGCCAAAATTTATCGTCGCAGCCTTCAGGATTTCTGACGGCCATCTTCAAAACGTTTTTTAACCGGTTTTTTTTCATCTTTCTTCGCTTTGATTCCGCTTAAAATCGATCGATTCCCGGTCCCTTTAATCCCCATTCTCCCCGGTTCCCAGAACACCACCGCTACGTCCAGATGGTGATCGATTATGAGAACCGCTCGGGGGCCAAAAAGCCATCCGCCCGGAGCGCGGATCGACCCTCGTCAAAACCCGGGGTCTATTAGCGGGGGCGGTGGCCTCGGTCTGTCTGTCTGTCCGGGTTTCTCTGGCTGTCTGTCTGTCTGCCTAAGTCGGTCTGTCACTCCGCACTCGATTTGTGGTCGCGGGAGAACGGTGCCTCGGCCCGATTGTCCTAAAAAGTGACAGCCAGGCGTTGGTGTTGAGGTCTGGAAATGGGGTTGCATTGAAATATGGTGAACCTGGAAAGCGAATGCTTGATCGGTCATTTTAAAGGGACCGGGAAGTCTGGTAGACGTCCACAATCGACGTCGATTCCTGGCAGAAAAGCCAGATGCCGCCGCGACGCGACCGCACCACAACTTCTTGCCGTTATTTAGGCGTGAAAATAAGTCAATTTGAAATGTCTAATGTCAGGTATGGAACCTTCTAGCAATTTTAAGACTCTAAACTTGTTCAATGCTCAAAATTGACCTAGAGGTAGATCGCTGATTTGCGCGCCTTACGGAGCATTACGACATAAAACTCACGCGCGCAAAAACATAAATTTTGCGTCGGGAACGCTTCAGGTTTTGTTGTCAAATATACGCCTTTTCACAACGTAATTGATCTGTCGGTAATTGTAGGCAGCGTAGCTTTTGTTTTAGACCAATAGTCAATCCTGGAACCCTCGTATTTTGGCTTGTTAGCACCTTTAGTATTGACATTTTGGGTATCTAGACCTAGTCGATCGAACACGTTGATTCTCGCGTCCACGGTCCTTTTAAAATAGAGCTTGCCCACATTTCGATCGTACAGTGGCTTCACGTCTCTTCCCACCCGTCCGCTCTCTTCGTAAACCTCCTCCGATCGGGCCAGCTCACCCATATCATAAGCCATTTTACGGGCGCGTGAACCGAACGCGACGGGGCGGCCATTGAACACCGCCGATGGGGGTCCCGATTCTCGACGGCCATTTTGACCCGCCGCCGATCGTGGGAAAATACTATATGGCTTGGCTGAACGCTAAAAGAAGAGCTGGAATTTGAACCTGGAACAAACATACTAAAGGCACCGTGAATGACTCAAATAGACCCCTTCTATCGACTAGGTCTAGTCAGCTACGTTACAATCCAAAACGCGCTTCCAAACGGGTTTGTTTTAGCCGCCCCGCCCTCTTCAAACGTGCCCTCAGAACCATGCATAAAAACTCTTTTGGAGTGCTTCGGAACCTGGCGTAGCTGTCTAGACCTAGTCCAAATAAGAGGTCGATTCTGGCGCTTCCAAGTCCCTTTAAA